TGTAATCCCTAAGATTTAACAAACTTTTTGCAAATTTAGATTCCACTTCTCTTTATTAGGCTTCTATCTCCCCAGAATACCATTATTACTCACTTCTTTTTTTTTTTTTAAATAAAGTGACTTGGATTAAGGCTCCTAACTTCCAAGTTGAGAGTGAATGGGATTTCACCCCCCTCATCTTCTAAATCAGGGATGCCAAACCCAAGTGGCTTAGAGGGCCACTTTCTGTGCTTTTCAGGTGCCCACAGGCTGCAGGTAGGAGCCCCGACATTGCAGCCAGAGCCAGGGCAGAAGTCTATAGCCCAGCTGACCCAGCTCCATGAGCAGGATCCAGCCCACAGGCTGGATGTTGGGCATCCTTATTTTAAATTATGCCCCATGCCAGTCCCTATGCAAAGGTGACTACTTCCTTATCTTACTGAAATGAGTTTCTCTGCCCAAATCTGAGGAAGCAGTAGCAGCTGACTGTCCTTAAATCTTTGGCTGTGGACAGATGTTACATTTGTTGCACTACAAGTGTTTGGGGTTTTTTTGTCATCCTGCAAAAGGCAGGGACAGACGTGCACCCCCCCCTTGTCGCACTGTGGACATGGAGGAAGTGCTGCAGAAATGTTCACAGATGAAATATGATCTTCTCTGCGAGGCTATGTGTTGTAGCGCCACATAATGTGCATAATGCATCATAGTGCTGCACGGGGTTTCTCAGTCAACCAGCTTCTAGCCATACCCCGCTGTCCATATGTCCCACCCAAGAGGGGAGGGACGGAGAATGGGGGGCAGTTAATCGGTGCTGTGGGGAGCAGCAGCGTTGACTGCCTTCCTGCCCATGGAGCTGGGGGGAGGCATCGAGGTGTCAGAGCCTGCTGCTGCCTTGGTCTCTGGGAAGAAGCTGCGCTCCCCGTGGCAGGCAGAGCGTGGACGGCTGCAGCACTTGTAGCTGCCACAAATTAATGTCTGTTCACAGCCTTTGTTGCCAGGGTCTCAACAAAGAAGCTGAGGGTAGACTGCCCGCAAGACTGAACCACAAGATGTGGTCCTTGTAGATGACTGATTGAAGCACTGCCAAAGTGGGACTGAGAAACATCCATACCTCACACCCTACTGCTCTGTCTCTCCGTAGCGGACCCCATCTCTAAGGCTTGTCCATCCAGAACCTTTCCCCATGTCCCTGCACACGGTCACTTGAAATCCATTAGTATTTACAGGGTGATTTTTGTTGGAGAAAGGAGGAATGTTGGAATTACCTCCCCAGCTTGAAGAGGCAGTTGGCAGCACCCAGAAGAAATGGCCAGGAAATATCTGATTTTTCTGATTGAAAATAACAGAAGCGTGAGTAATGTTGATTTCGTGGTCGGAAACCCGAGCATTTTTCTTCTTGATTTTGTTTCTTTCCTTCATATACCATCTCCTACATGCCATACTCAAAGCAATAAATAGCAGGAGTTAAGTGACAAAGTATTCTCTTCTAAGCAAAAGGCCTTTGTCGCTGGTGGCCTGTGCAGGGAGCGAGGGAGGCGAAGTGATGTATGCATTTCCATCGATAGAAGAGATGCATCTATCTAGAATTTTTGGCTACGGATGCATACAGTATAAATAGCAATACATCTTGGCTGTGCTGAACAAAGAGTACACAAAGGCTACATAGATTTATCCACTTTATAGCAGCAGTTACTGACCCTGTAAATCACACCTCCTGCTTTAGAGGGAAACTTAGCCACTTGGGATTAAAAAAAACACAACTCTCCACCATTGACGTTCAGCGTGCTTTACCGTCTCGAGTCTCTCTCAAGTTTTTTTCAATCGATTAAAGAGTCTTTCTATAGAAAGACGTCTCAAATGCTTCCTGCTTCCAGAAACTCAAGCGTCCTGGCCTGACTTTTTGGAAATGCTTTTGACCCTAAGTTGGCACAGACCATGGTTCGGTAATCTTATTTATCCACAACACTGGCTAATGTGCATGTCTAGCCCCTTTCCTCCTCTTCAGAGCTCAAAGATCTTTACAGATCATCGTCACAAACTCAATCCCGCAATAACCAGGTGAGACAGTTTTGGTTGAGCCCATTTCATAGATCCAACTCTTGAGGGGAGGGGGGAGTTTACCAAATTACCAGGTGTTTCAGAAGTGACAATAGAAGGTGTCTAAACTTGTTTCTGTGCCCTTTCAGCTGGATCATGTCATGCCGTGCTGTCATCAAACTCCCTAATTGGGGAGGGAGGCTTTGTGTCAGTGTTTGGTTGAGATTGCCAAGAAAGAAACAACGCATTATATTGTAGTAAAGAGGGAAGGGGAGGCTGGGAGGTAGGTTAAACCCACAGTGACCTGATGGTCCAACCTGGCAATAGGGGATGGGGTACTGTTGGTGTCAAAGATCTTGTATCTATCTTTAAAGTAAACCAGTAGGATTTTTTGAGGCTGCCATGAAATAGAATATGTATCGGTTTTTGATTATCTCCCTCGCTTAACACAATCGCCTCCCTTCTTTGCAAAAGTTTGTGTGCTGGACACGTGTATGTATTGGAGTAGGAGATGGTGAATTGGTGCATGGGTAGATTGCATTAGGGCCTCTGGGGAAGAAAAAAACATATTACAAAATTGCCCGGCACTGAAATGTCAGTCATAGCTGTTTCCTGGAGACTAACAAAACCCTGTCCTGGCCCATCACAAATCCAATTTGGCTTTTGCAGCAGAAATTCCACAGCTGGCCCTATTGAAACAGGTTTTGCAACCTAAGGTTTAGGTTTATGATAAGTCTCAGAGAGCTCCAGAGCTGCCGGGAGTGCTTCCCTTCTGGTTCTTCCAGATTTCAGTAATTTATGGGCTAAAACTTGTTTTGCCCATTGCCTGCTAAGCTGTTGTGCAGGAGGTAGCTCTTACTACTAGAGCAATGTTTAGATTCTAAAAATTGCACTCCAGATGCTTTAATCAGAAATCTTTACCAGCCTTAATTATAGGAGTGTTTGCAAGACTGAGTGCATATTAACTGCCACAGCAGTTATTGGATGTATATTTAAATTCCCCTTCTGGAAACTGAACTGGAATTTGATATTACAGGCAAGTCGGAGGGGGGAGGGTGCTTCAGTCTGTCATACTGCAAGGGAATGGAGAAATCTGCAGGTCCTTTCTCTCTACAATGCATCATTTCTGTATGTGCTGAGGACACCAGTGGCACATCTGACGGGCTGCGTCTGTATTCAGTCTCCGTCACCCCCAAAGGCGCCGGTGTCAGTCCAGCTTTGCCAGCTCTCCATTCCCGTGCGGCAGTGCAGGTTTGAACTGGATGTGTAGGCAAAACAAATGGAGGACAAAATCATGCATGAAAACCCTCTTCGAGGAAGCTGAAAGAGAGCGAGGGGGAGGAGAAGTGGAAGAGAAGAAAATGAGTGTTTGCACAGAGCACAGCCAGACTGCTATCATTTCAGTGAATAAAAGCTGGAATCGCAGGCACGTTTGTACATTGCCTTTGCCAGCGCCAACACATTTCATTGACTGGTGACATCTAGAGATTTAGCCTGACAAATCACAGGGTTTATTGCCGTTGAACTTGATCAACAATCAGCCGCTGTCCTTGTGTCGTGGTGCTAAGAAGCTTTAAAACTTGCTCAGATCCCACATGCCCAGTTAACACTGGTTCAAAAGCATCAGCTTTCTCATTCCTTCTTTAATAAGCTTTGCATAACGCAGCAAAAGGCAGCTGATAAACGAGGCTCTGGAAAGATGAGGGATGGCATCAGGAGGTACTTATCACATGTTACAATAGGGAACAATATCAAGAGGAGGGGAGGTCTCAGGCTATGAAGCGTAGTGTGTTAGTTGGTGTGTGTGCTGCCATCTGCGAACAAGCGGGACTGGGCAGGGTTTCCATAGACTAGCACAGATATTTTTGGCAGCCTGTTACTGAAGCCTCCGCTGCAAAATCCTACAGTCCTGAGCAGTATTGCTACACTTGGCAGCAGATGTCACTAGATAGTTGTGTGTTTAAAAAGGAAAAGAAGAGCCCCCATTCCTTTATGTAGGGAAAGGTGCTTTCCTTTCCCTAGACCTTATTTAAATTTCTGAAATGGTCTACCATTATGAAAAACCCTGCCGGGAAGTCATTTTCTCAGTTCACCAGGTGCTGATACTTGTACAGTCTGTGATGGGGACAGATAAGTGCTACGGGGACCTAGCAGTAGGATGTACCAAGTGGTGAGACTTCACTATGCAACTGAACGTTGTTTAATAAAATCACCTTCCCACTCTTTTTGGGGACAGGCAGGTTGTATTATTTTCAAGGGGGGAAATGGAGGCTGGAGACATGAAGCAAAGCTCTGCATTTGAGTGCTTTTGTGAGCTTATCCCATCTTTCCAAGGAGATCTGTTTCCACTGTCTGTTTAGTCAGACTGTCTGACTTCAGTCCTTTTTAGTGCATTTTCTTTCTGTTAGCCTAGCAGAGGCCAGCCTAGTTAAGAGAGGGCATGCCAGTGTCCATTCCCCTCTTGTGGCTGAATGGCATTTAACTAAAACCTAATAGAGAGAATGGAGTTGCATGGGGGTCCCTGCGGGCAGGATTTCTCAGTGTTGCAAAGACTCCACTTTCACTCGGGTAGCACAGAGTAGGTTTGTAGAGATCGCGAATGGAAACCCCATCTTTGTACCTGCTAGGTGAGCATGCTTTTACTCTGGAAATCACCAAGTAGCACTAAATCCAGCCCCTCTGCAGAGGTTACCGCACCATCAGCATCTCGTGTCTGGCCACAAAGACAGAACCAGATCACTGACATTTCAAGCTGTCAGCCCTGTGCCTCGGCTGTCCTGGCCAGACCTCCTCCTGCTAGCATCTGTGGCAGCACTGACTAAATCAGGCCAGGAAATATATAGAGCTCAGCTATGTAACATATTTAAAACACATCTATCCGTGGCTAGCGTGTGTGCGTGAGTAGATACAGTCTTATTTAAGTGACCATTTTGTGCAATGTGTGAAAGGTTGGTGATCTCTCTCTCTCTCTCTCTCTCTCTCAGCTCATTCAGACAAACAAACTGAAGCACTATCCCAGCATCCATGGAGACTTCAGCAATGATTTCAAACAGCCGTGTGTTGTGTTTACTGGACACCCCTCCCTCCGGTTCGGGGACGTGGTGCACTTTATGGAGCTGTGGGGAAAATCTAGTCTGAACACCATTATATTTACAGGTAAGAAAAGTGCCCTTTGCAGGGCAGACCTGGCGAGATGTCAGTCACTCTTGTAGGGCCAAAATGTCGGGGCTTTAGTCATTGGTTCCCCAGGCAAAACTTTCAGTGACCTCACCAGGAGCTCATCCAAGTGAGGATCTCAGAATGACTCTAGTGACCAATTGATTTTTCCTGCATTTCATTCCTTTTAGCCTTTCAGGGTCGATTGTTGCCATGCAGAGTCATTCCTTGCCTTTTTAAAAGCAAGATCTTTGTATGCTCAGCAGTAAAACCCCTGCAGGGAAATTAGCTCTTGGAAGAAATGCAGTTGGCTCAGACTGAACCCAGGCGTGACCAAAGCACCGCTAGTCAGAAGGAGGAAATACTTTTCTTCCACCTTCTCTTGAAGGCAGTTGGCCCCCAATCATCAAAATAGTGCAACGCATCAGGTCCTTGTTTAACTCTTGGGTAAATTTGGGTGACCAGATAGCAACGACTGCCAGAGTGCAAGATTATTAAGAAACTTCACATCTGCCAGTCATAGAGACCCATGCACTTCCAGACTATTACTCTTTCTCAGTGTATCTGCAGCTGAATGCAGAGGGAGAAGAAGGAAACTACCTGCCAGCTCAGGCTGTTGTGAGCAGGTAAAAGATCGGGACAAGGGGAACGCTGGGACTAGGGGGTCAGTAACCA